CACACGCTTTCATGTCAGTAAGTTATGACGTTCCTTTGATTTTGCACACGTTTTAGAATTTGAATAAGTCTGTTACATTAACACGTAAAAACACTCGACTACAAGAGTTTTAGAATTTGAAATGAATCCGAAACGCCCGGGTACCTATGTTCCAAAGTCCTACATGTACTATATTCCAAAGTCTTTGCCTGTGTTTCCGCATAACAACCTGCCTTTCTATTTCCAGTAATAAGCAGGCTGTCGACACCCTCTGTGTCATTGCCTTCAAGGTACCAAGATACTCTCTGGTACCATGTTCTGGGAAAGGGTTCGGATTTCCCTAGGCCGCTTTATGCTCCCAAAATAAAGCATTGGAAAGCACGCAGCCCGGAAGGAAGGTACAAATTACTATGTATCCATTTTTTCCAACTGCGAATATTGATGTTGAAATGCAATATTAAATTAAAAGGTTTTGTCGAAAAAATATTTGAAATAATTATTAAATCGTTTCATACAAAAAATGAAGTAACAGTGTCGCGTTATAAGTTATGTTTCCAAGTATTTCAGTTGAATTTGAAAGAATTATAAACTACAGAATTAACGTGCTATGTTTGCCGCTAGAATTTCATTGTATATTTGTTTTCATTTGAATGTATATCCGAATTTTTAAAATTTATTTTTTCGTATACATGCTGAAACAATATTTTACGTTTATTATACGTTAGTTTAAATAGTGGAAAAATATTTATAAGTTTTAGAAAGTATCTAAGTTCCATTTACTCCACAATTATTCTGCACGTATTTTAATTTAAACATTAAATATAATGTAGAATTATATTAATTTCTCTTTAATGAAAAATATGTATTAAACTTCATGTACAAGTCTACATTAAATCTACGTTGATTTTAATTAAATTTAATGTACATTCACATTAATTTCGTTGTAATGTACAAGTTACATTAATTTTAATGTACAGTCGTACGTTAACTCTACATTGATATACAATATATAATTGATAAGCATTACATTTATTGTAAAAGTACATTAATATCCTATTAATGAACAGCCGTACATTAATCCATATTAAATTTAATGTAATTTCTGACTGTAGTTTTTGCGCAGTACTACGCAAAATATTTTTAATTTAAAAAAATTGCATTAACAAGATATTCTGAATAGGAGCTCCAAATGTTTTCTAAAAACTTTTGGTAGGGATGGTCTTAAATGCACTCAATTAGATTACATAAACGCCACATTGCCATATCTTGTTGTTTTTTTAAAAAAATACAAAAATGTAATTGTTTTGATGTGTCTCTCACGTCATTAATATTTATATTAGAAGCAATTAGTTCACATTATTATATTTGTGAGTACTTGTACTCTAAATAATATCAGATAAAGTTTTTCGAAAACTCAACCGTTTTCTGTGAAGCTCAAAATTCCGCATTGTTAGAAACGTTCATTTATCACTTATAAAGGTGACATAGGTCGGATATTCACGGTTAACTCTGAATTTTTGAAAATTCCAAAAGTTTGAATAATTTCCGGCAATTTCCTACAACTAAAAAATTAAAGATTGAGATTTTTCCTTCAAATGAAATTTGTTGTTGATAATCAGTTCTTTCAATAAGGTCCTGTACATTTTTTGAATATTTTAGTAGTCGCGCAATATTGGGCGCAATGTGTGCAATTTAAAAAAAAAATTAATACCATAAGATTTTCTGAAAGAGCGCTCCAAATTTTTTCTTTAAATTTTTGGTTGATATAGTGATAAATTCGTTCTATAAGATGACATAAACGCCATATTACTATATTCTTTTGTGTTTTTTTATTTAAATGTTTTGACTTGCCGCTCAGGTCATTAATATTTATATTAGCGGTGATTTGTTCACATTATTATATTTATGAGAACATGTGCTTTAAATGATGTCAGATGAAGTTTTTCGTACACACACAGTTCCAATTTTCTTTTCACATTTTTCGAAGGGATAGTGCTTATTGCACTCTTTAATAAGACGTAAAGTTCTTTTTCAGATGATTTTTGTTTTTCGAAAATACCACAAATTATTTTTTTAAGATCTCTCTCGCCGTTAATGTGCACTTTTCCAGCCATTTGTAAACACTATTGTATTTGTAAGTTAAGTAAGTGCTTGAAATGACTTCAAATGAAGTATTTTGAAAACTCAAAAATTATCTGTGAAAATTTCGAATTTACAGTAGCGCTTAAACGCCATTTTCTTAAAAAACGGCTCCAAATTTTTCAAAGAAAATTTCCATACAGAACGAGGTTATACTCGTTTTTAATATTTTAGAAGTAATATTTCAAAACTATCATTAGGAAACCGAAAAAATGTGAAAATTAAAAAAATATGTATATACTTTAGATGGCGATAGATGGCAGCTGACAAAAAGTAGGTGGCAGATCGAAATACTACCCATGCCAAAAAATTTAGGAAACTAACTAGTGCGAGAAAGTCTTTGCTATTCTGTAATTCTATTGGTATAAACTAGTAGAGTTTATATACGTATATTCTATAAAGAATGTAATAAAAAGCAAGATAGGTATTGGTAAAATTATATTGGTTATTTTGACTTTTTTTTAAAACATAAGGTATTTAAAACAAATTTAGAAATTTTGATTTTGTTTGTAATTTATTAAAACCAATTTAAATGTTATTGCCGGGGACCACTTCTAAAAACGGCGCGATTTTGTATTCGATTATAAGGAAAATGCGTCATATACCATTCAAGTCAATGGTGAGACTTATAGTGCAAAATTTTTAAAAAACGTGATTGATTTTGTGTTTTACACTTTTAAGATTCAGTATTATTTTATTTATCGTATTTATTTTAAATATTTTATTTATTGTTGGCCACTTGCTAGTAGTGAAAATATCAGTTACTACTTCCTTTTACCAAGCCCGGTCTGGTGGCCATTTTCGGTGAGGCTTTGCTGTTGTTCGGTTGTGGATGGTTACGGTGAGTATCGGCACAATTTTGTTTGGTTTTGTGAAGTTTCTGAAATGAAGAAATCTATATGTTTGCGTTCTCTCATTGTCTTGTTGAAAGAATGCGTACAAATGATATTCATATTAATGTCTTCGGTAACGAACATGTTTCGGTATATGGACCACGTGTTCAGATTTTAGGCAGCTTTCGTTTAGTAACGGTAAGCAATAGTGAAGTTCGCTTATTCGTTAGCGTTGTTGTACCGTACTGTTCCCGTTCAAAGTTGTAGGAATCTAGCATATCTACGAAGTGGGGCGGAACTGGCTTGCTACGAATATAATGCCATACGGCGTTATAAACGTAGAACTGGGTTGTTTCGGAAGCTACTCTGAGAAAAATTGTATTTTCCGATGTTATTAATACTTTTAAAACCACTCATGCCAAATTTGTAATGAGAAAAGTGTGGTTGGAATTTTGTATTCAGAAAATTTAAACACGTTGGAAATACTTCGGTTCGGGGAAAAACCAAAAGGCCCTGATCAATCTGCAGGCTTATGCAAAATCAAGAGACCCCTAATGTTGCTATAGGAATATCTTGTACAATTTTATTTTTCTCTTGCACAGTGAACCAAAGCTGCAAATTTAATTGGGACCTCAGGTTTGGTTTTTTCACTCCGCAGGGGAGCTTTGGAAGAAGTAAAAAAAAACTTCATTGTATTGTATTAAGCTCGCTTTTAGTTTATTATGAAAATTCTTTGTGCAATTTGGCAGGGAGCTTGTGCAGAATCATGACTCATCGCATGCTGCAGATATTTTCTGTTCAATCTTGGTAGAACTAGATTTTATTCAGATTTGCACATGGGGAACACTATAGCTGTAACTCATGATCACATAGTGTCCGTTTTTGGAACTGGGAAACTTTTGATTAGGAAATTTTGTACATATCAAGCTTTTTAATGTATGCTTTGTGCAGATGGGAATGGTAGTTCTTACACAAATGGGAGTATGAGAATACTTAAATTTCAAAAACCCAAACTTAATTTCTAATTTATGCCCAGTGTACATTAAATATGCAGTCTATATAAACTGTTTTAATTAGAATCTATTATGGGAAGATCTGAATAATTTTTACTGCATTAAGTTAGATATATAAAGGTCTTATTCAACTGACAAAGGAACTAGTGATGAATAGATCCTAATCAAAAGTGGCTATTAACTTTTGTTTCATCTCAGCAGAACCAAATTTTACTCATCTGAAGTGAACATTCTGCAGCTTCTGATTATTATCAGGGTTGTTTCTACCTACACGACTAGTTGAAAATTTGAACAATTTTTACTTTCTCGCACTAGGTAAGAATCTGAAAACATTCAATATGCATCTCCAATAAGGAAAGTTTGTTTTACTTGGAATATGTAGCAGCAATTTGGAGATATTTTCCTGCATTAAGCTTTGTACGGAAATGCCTTATTCCACTGGCCAAGGGGCTCGTGCAGAAACAGGACTCCTTATCGAATGAGGGTACAGGATGATTCTGGATAATCCTGAGAGAACGTTTTATTCTTATTCATGACCAGAGAACATTCAATATGCATCTCGTAATTAGCAAGTTTGTTGTACTTGGAATATGTAGCAGCAACTTGGAGACACATTTTCCTGCATAAAGCTTTGAATGGAAATGCCTTATTCAACTGGCCAAGGAGCCTGTGTGCAACCAGGACTCCCAATCGAATGAGGCTTCAGAAATGTTCTGGATAATCCCAGGAGAACATTTTATTCTTCTGCTTCATAACTAGAGTACATTCAATTTGAATATCCTAATATGCAGGCTTTTTATTTAAAATATGTAATGGCTGGTTGAAGATATTTTTCCTGCATTAAGCTTTGAATGGAAATGCCTTATTCAGATGGGCAAGGAGACTGTGCGAACCAGGACTCCCAATCGAACGAGGCTACAGGAATTTTCTGGATAATCCCAGGAGAACATTTTATTCTTCTGCTTCATAACCAGAGTACATTCAATTTGAATATCCTAATATGCTGGCTTTTTATTTGAAAATTTGTAATGGCAAGTGGAAGATATTTTTCCTGCACTAAGCTTTGTATGGAAATGCCTTATTCCAATTGCCAAGGGGCTTGTGCAGAAACAGGACTCCCAATCGAATGAGGCTACAGGAATATTCTGGATAGTTAATCCCAGGAGAACATTTTATTCTTCTGTTTCATCACCAGAGTACATTCAATTTGCATATCCTAATAAGCAAGTTTGTTTTTATTAGAATATGTAATGGCAAGTTGATATTTTTTCCTGCATTAATTTTTGTATGTCAATGCCTTATTCCCCTGGGCTAGGGGCTTGTGCGAAACACGACTCCTAATCAAGGCTACAGGATTTTTTTTTGTTTTAATCCTGAGGAAACAATTTTACACCCAGAAAAAACACATCAGAAATTCTTGATCAAGTTTGTTGTCACACTACATGGAATATATGAATAGTTAAGACGCAATTTAGTTTTCACACCTTAGTTAGATTAGACCTTCTTCTGCCGTTAATTTGCTGTACTGGAATTAAATTCATGATATAACTGTACCACAAATTAATTTATTAAGTATTTGATGTGAATTTTTCTGATGTTTATGTTTCAGAAGTAACTAGTCAACATGGTCAACGGCAGGGTACCATCTGTTTTTAGTAAAACCTACGTTACTCCACGTAGGCCTTATGAGAAGGCTCGTTTGGATCAGGAGTTAAAGGTCATTGGTGAATATGGACTTAGAAACAAGCGTGAAGTATGGCGTGTAAAATACACTTTGGCAAAAATCCGAAAAGCTGCTCGAGAGCTGCTAACCCTGGAGGACAAGGATCCCAAACGTCTTTTTGAAGGTAAGTAGTTGTGTATTGAATTAAATTTTTTTTTTGAATAAATGTCTTATTTTACGTGGTGAGACTCGGGCTGCTCGGCTCGCTCTTGCGTCTGACCACGCAACTTTTGCTTCGCTATTTTCACCAACTAGCAGAAAAGGGAAGTATTGGGTGACTAAACAGGTGATTTGAATTTAGTTCAGAGGCGTCATTTAGGGTTGAGGATCTTTTACATGCACGTAAATCTAAAATGGCTTTACTTCCCCTCCGAAGGAAGACGAACAAAGGATTTTTCCGCCCTTAAAAATCCACTGCATGTTTGAACCCAGCCTCTTAGCTATAACAGTCCGATACGCTAACAATTACCCCATCTTCGACGCTAATATAATGTAGTAAGAAATGATTTGAATTTATGAACATTAAGGTGGTGAAAATTTCATAAACCCTCAGTGTCAATCCGTGACCCTTTTCGGAACCCCTGGTCTTAAGACAAAATATTTTGTAATAATGATTTTAGTTCAAAGAATTGTTTTTGTTTGAGAATAGAACCTCGATAATTGGCGTTCAATTCTCAATCAGGGTGACAATTCTTTGAGTAAATTTATTTATTTAAATATTTGTGTCATTGCTACATCATGGTTACCTTTGTTGGGCAGGACACATTTTCTTCATTTCCTCTCGTATAAAGTGACATCCGTAAAAAGTAAAATCCACTTTTTGTTTTCACCAGGCTTGAGGACTAGTATTACAATGTGAAACATCTTTTTTGTTTGGCATGAAGACGAATGGGATTAGTCACAGAAGTTGGGAAAAATCATATTATTAAGGAGCAAATATAGTTTAAACATTTCACTTTCTTTGGAGAGGTTTGCGTGTTCTATCATTTAAGGCAAAAATAAGGGGAAATGATTTAGCTACATTGTGCTTACATTTTAACATACTTAGTTTTTGTTAACCTATCAATATTGTAGGCTGTATACATGTGCAATACCCTTCCACTCCTTTTGTATAAATTTGTAAGGATGATTTTTGCCTGGCAGCTGGATGCCAAGTGGAGATTTTCAGTAGCAGCTTGGTAATCACAGCCACATACTATCAGTGATGCAGCCCTTTTCCCTTCATTAACATTAGAATTACACTGCCATAATAGACTCCATGTTAGTTAATGCCTTATTTTGTGTGGCAAGACTTCAGCGAAGATGCTCACTCTTCCGTCTGACCACACACATTTGGCTATGCTCCTTTCACCATCTAGCAGATAGAAAAAGGTATTGTCTTGGGTGACAAAGTAGGCACTTTGAATTTAGCTCGGAGTCGTCTTTTAGGGGTATGGATCTTTTAAATGCAGTGTCTGCTACATGGGACAGATGGTTTCACTTCCCATCTGAAGAAAGCGAGTATGAAGGATTTCTTCACCCTTACAATTCCACAGCTTCTATCAGTTTGTGCCTGCAAACTTAGGTATCACAGCTCAGTATGCTAACCGTTGTACCACCAAACTCAAATTCCTGAAGAGTTAATAAAAATGTTCTTTAAAAAGGGTAGGGGGAAATTTCTGATAATTTTTTAGTGAAGACTTGACTTAAAGGTTGTTCTGCTTGTAGTGTGCTTGATTTCAGGAGCAAGGGCCTTTACAAAACATTGTAATTTTTATTTTTAGGAAATGCATTGCTGCGGCGCTTAGTACGGATTGGTGTGTTGGATGAAAGCCGTATGAAGCTTGATTACGTGTTGGGTCTTAAAATTGAAGATTTCTTGGAGCGTCGTTTGCAGACCCAAGTGTTCAAGTTGGGTCTTGCCAAATCTATCCATCACGCTCGTGTCTTAATTCGCCAAAGGCATATCAGGTTTGTGTGATAATTTTGCTAATCTGTTATGGCTACAACTATATTCCATGAAAACTTAAAAATATTTTTTTAATATTTATGAATTGCAAGAAGCTTGCTATGGCTGTGGTTTATCTGGTTACTTCAAGCCCATCATATAAATACAATTAACAACTTACTAGTTTGATGCTAATGAGTGAAGATACAAGAATAAATTTCGATAAACCAACAGTTGAACCTTGCAGCCTTCTAGTAAAATTTAGCAGGAATTAGATTCTAAAGGTTGCAAACTTATCCTACCGGAAAGCTTCAATAATGGCTTGTCTCTCTGTGGACAGTCGGTGGCAACGGGGGGAGGGTATTCTTTTTTTTCTTCTTTCTTTTTTTTCTTCTTCTTCTTTCATTAGCTGTTAATTCTGTGCAAAGTTAAGACTTAGAATAGTTGAAAAAGGATGCTCAACTGAGGGTGACTACTTTCTGGAAAACACAGGGAATATCAATTCCAGAAAAATGTAGGGGAGAAAAGTTCACATTCAAAAAATTCATTGTCGATGTAGATTTCAAACTAATGATTTCCAATTAACATTAATTTATTATCTATGATATAACTATTTAAATTTTTTAATTATAAGAATGGTCATTTAATCACTTTTTTAGGTTAACTTGATTTTAAGTCAAACTAACCAATTACATGGTACTTGAAGTCTAATGTATTTGAAAATTCACGCTTAGTTTAAACTTTAATGCTGCAACCGTGTAAGTGCTATGCCTGTGAGAGGAAAAGACACATGGCTAATGAATTTGCTTTGTTGTATTCGTGAACTTTGTGCCAGAGTTGTTTATTATAGGATCTATGCAGGTGCACATTGGGGCTACAACTGGCATTCAATAAAATAACCTCAAACAGCAGGTGTTGAAAAAAGTTATTATAACTGATCGAAACATACTTTGCTATGCTCTTGGGTTCAGAGCTAAGCAGAAAATGCTATTGAAGAACGAAAGTGATGAGAAACTGAATTGGAGAACCGAACTCCATATGAGAGAGACCAGAAGAAAAGGCTGTGAAATTGATAGCACTGAATAAACTAGTGGTGCTACAGAATGGCACAGACTTTCTCATACTAATTTGTTTTCTAATTTTTGTGGTCTGGATTAGCCACGTTCTGTAGCTGCCCAAAGTACATTGAAATTTTCACATTTTTCAGTTTTATAATAGAACTAAAATCTTACTTTCAGAATATTGTAGAAGAGTAAAACCTTGTCATTAAGGAAGTTTCATTGACCAATTTAGGGCAGTTTATGAGAAAATGGCATTTACACATTACTATAGATGTGAAATTTGCAGCTTTTTCACAAAAATCTTTCGTATTTTTGAAAATCATTATTGGAAGTCATTTAATGTATATCTACACTACAATGCGATAATGTATACTAATTGCTGGAAATGTGCATATTAAAGGTGTGATTTAAAAAGACTAAAATTCTGTAATTTGTGTGAAAAGAGAATGGAAAGTTTAAAGAATAAATTTGGAGCCGTTTTTAAGAAAATGGCATTTGAGTGTCTCTGAAAATGCCGAATTTTGAGCTCATTGTCACAGCAAAGTTTGTTTTTGAGAAACTTTGTTAGACATTATTCTCATGTACTCGTAAATGCAATAATATGAAGAAATTGCAACTTAACAACGTAAGAAGCTAGTCTTAAAAATTAAATTTTTGATAAAAGTAAAGAATAGAGGAAAAAGGCAGTTTTTCATCTCATTGAGTACGTTAAACACTATCCCTATTAAAACTTTTAAGAATTTGGAGCTGTTTTTTGAGCAAATCTTATTTTTGTTATTTTTTAAAGTGCACATATTAATATTAAATGCAAAATCCTAAATTTTTTATAAAAATGTACCTGACCTTAACAAAAGGACTTGGTGATAAAATTTAATTTTAAGGAAAAATTTAGATTTTCAATTTCGTAGTTGCAGAAAGATGCAAAGCTGCAGAAAAAATTCAAACGTTTGCTATTATAGATGTGAGTTAACAGTAAAAATTTGGACCTATGCCACATTTTGCTCAATTTTTACAAGAAATTTGGAGTCTTGTTTGAGGAAATTTTGGAAATGTCCCAAGGATTTCATAAACCCCCAAACATTAGTGTATTTTCTAAATCGCAGAGCTTAGACTCGGACCAGATTGACAGGAGGATTCAGTTTGGAGAAAAACAAGAAACCTACACATAGTTTAGGTACTAGTGTTGATTGACGGATGGGCGGACAGACTTTTTGGCGTCGATCAATTTTTTTGAATCAAGGACCTTCAAAACATGGATTCTGGGTCCACCATGTTAGGGAATTATTTTACTTTCTTGCCCTCGTATACACAGTACAGAGATGGTTATGTAATGTTAAGCAATAAATGGCGAATTTTCGGCTTAAACATTTTTATTAACGGGCCCTAGTATCGATAAGTCGATCAATAGTAGTTAAATATAGAAAAAAATCTAACATGTGGTATAGCCAGGATCTGAATTGCAGGTCTTTGATACCAAAAATTGATGGATGACAAAAGTCTGTCTGTGAACAACGCTAGTGGCTAAGCAAATTCTGATTTTCTTAAAAAAAAATATATCAAGCTGATATAGCAACCCCTTGGTTTTGTAACTGATATTTTAATTTTTGGGGGTACTTTACATGAGTCTTTCCAAAATAAAAAAAAAAGACTCCATATTCTGAAAATTTCTTATTACAGGGCCCTGCCAAAGGAAAAGTGGATAAATCCAGATGCTAAATGTAGAGGAAAACAATATTGTGTAAATGTTACTCTGTTTGTGAACAACACTAATGCTTAACCCATTCAGCTGATGTTCTCCACATTTGATATTCCCCAATCGATCTGGCTGATGTTGCAGCCCCTTGAATTTGAAACCGGTATTTTTTTGGGGGGTACATTTCCAAGGAACTGCACAACTTAAGATGAAATTTTTATTTATTTATAATGAGAATTCTGTATTCCTTTGAAATTATAATAAAATAGTGCTATTATATAAGTAATGCAGTGGTACATGTAACACGGTGAAATAATACACTGAAAGTCTATATCAGACCTATTACTTAGTAACTGCGCCTGCCTTAGTGTTTTTGGTTTTCTTTTACCTTCAACAAATAATTTGGCTTTCGAGAAAAAAAAACTTTAAATCTAAATTTAGTGCTCGACAAATGCTAGAGATTTGTAAGTTTAAACGAAGAAGGTTATGTGATAATTTGTTTTTTTGTAATTTTCTGCTATGGTGGTAACTGACAATAGTTGATTTTGCCAGGTTGCTGCCCACTTAAAATTTCTAACAGGCCACTTGAGTTGAGGCTCTTTGCCAATTCTCTATGTCTGCTAAGTTGCGATGTTTCATGGAAGTGTGGAATGCAAATCTCAAGGGAATTCATTCAGACCACTTAAGAATCTTAAGGGTTCTTAACGTCTGTTGCTAACAAGTTATGGACTGCACAAGGTAGTGAAATCACGTTTAGTTGGTATTGAAGGGGTGATTTTTTTAAATTTTTTTTTAATAGATAATATTTGTAGATAGTACTCCTTAATTGTTCACGTTAAATGCAAATTGAGAAAGAATTTGAAGTTGGGTTCCATATGATGTTATATTCTGACACCTCTTGGCTGAACATTTGTGAGGATTATGCTTCATGCATTGACTGATGGCCCAACCAATATATTAAATTATTTATTTTTTTATCCTTACTCCATCTATGCTTGCAATGTTTTTGTTAAGAATTTCTTTCAGATAAGCATGTTCATACGCACATATTGGTCTTTTGGTTTTTATTTCACAAAGAATGTTAATGCTTGTGCCTAAACACCCCGCTGAGGGCATGTAACATTTGTCCCACCTTTACGAAGAAATGGCATGATGTTTTTCACACAGAGTAGTTATGTATTGTGCTCCATTTGTTTTGTGATTTACAACTAATATTCAAAATTCTCAATGGTGCAAAATAATAAGGTACACTAAAACTATATTTCAGGGAAAATTGTTCCTTATACTCTACAAATTCCCTACTTACTTTCATCTGTGTTAACAAGTAGGGTAATAACATCTTAGTTTAGAAAAGGCTTCAGTTTCTTATAATTTTAAACATCTTCATTAGCACTAATTTTTAACATTCATGCAAAATTTATGCAAGTTTTAAATCAATTAAGTGGCATTATTTGTGGTTGGTGAATAGTTCTGCTAGAGTTGTGCCACACAGTATCAGACAAGTTTAACTGTAGGTGATTATTTAGTATTGAAAATAATTAGTAATCAATCGACTGAAATTATTGAAACATTAGGGAGTTTCTGCACCCTCAAACATTATAGCAATTCAAGCATTATCGATCTCCTGCACATGTGCAGTTAGATTTGCATCACTTTTGTCATAAGTAGAAGCTTGAGATAGCAGTCAATTGCTGCTCACTAGTGCGTGCAAAAACTCTATTAAAACACCATTTGTCTTGGTGGCACGAATTTGCATGGTGATGGTAACAAAACAATAAATAGAATGCTTTTGAACATTTCTTAAAATACCATTAACATAAGTAGTGCTGGATGCTCTGACTAAAACTTATGAAAAGAAAATTGACAGGGTGCTGCTGTCTGGGATTTTTGTGAGATACATGTGCCACATCTAATATCAGGGTTACTAATAGACCCTTGATGTTAGATGTAGATAATAGGTGACTGTTCTCATGTGTCAGAGTACTTTTGCTTTCAGGGATTGAGTTTAAAATTGAATTCATGAATTATTTGCTATTGTTAATAATTGAAAACTATTATCTCCATCTATATATCAGTTAATTTATTTGAAAATGCAATAGGTTAGGTAGTCCAATACATGTTTACAAAAACTATTAATTTTAGAAGGTTCAGTACTGGCTTTGCATTAAATAGACTAAATGGTAATGATGGGTATAAAATTAAGAGACATGATACAAAATAAAATTAAATCATTATTGCAAGATAAAATAATTTTACATTTGTCCTTTCTAAGGTAAGGTATTGTAATCTTGCATGAGAAAACAGTGAAAGTTGGAGTAGATTAGTACCGTATACCATTCAATAATTTTTCATGTAATTATTTTGATATCAAAACTACTGAACTACTCTTCACCTTTAAGGAGCAGATCATTTTTTAAGCAATGCTACTGGGACCAAATGTGTAATTTTTAATGGATAGTCTTGTAGATGGAAAGGGGAAAAAAACTGTTTTCACTTCTCATCAAAAATAAAATTAAAAAATCTGTGTAACATGGTGTGTCAATGCAAGAGTTATTAATTGTTGAAATCTTGGACTCTGTATTTTTCAAATTAACTACATTCCAAGGAAATGTGATGAACTTGTACGTTCAAGGTAGTGATAAACAATTACTTGCATTGAACAAAGTTCTTATAGTTAGATTAACATTTTCAGAACAAATCTCAAATTATACTAGATTGGCAAATTGACTATGAAATTGAGATCCATATGTTGCTAACAACCATCTGTCTGAATACTATGTCCATGTTTTAACATCCAATAAGTTGAATTACAATCCCTTTTTTTTAATTATTCATATTAATGCCTGAAATCTTACTTTAAGCGAATATATTTTGATGTGATGGAGCTCAGGATGTGAAGGAAGTGATAAACATCCAGTTGGCAGACGTCAAATTTACTTTTGACAAGTTCTTTTATTTTTAGAGAGTAGTGTTATATTGAATGCTGTGATAACTATAAACTGGCCTTTAATATCAAATTGGGTCCCATATGATGCCTACATCTGACACCTCTTGTCTGAGCTCTATGAGGATGTGTGCTCTATGCACGGTGACTGATGACCCTACCACCCAATATTGTGTACCAGCTGCATTATTTCTAATTAAAATATTCTCGTTTACAGGGTACGCAAACAAGTTGTGAACATCCCCAGTTTCATTGTGCGGTTGGATTCACAAAAACATATTGACTTCTCTCTGAAATCACCATTTGGTGGTGGCCGCCCTGGTCGTGTCAAGAGGAGGAACATGCGCAAAGCAACATCTGGTGGTGGTGCTGCAGATGAAGAAGAAGATTAAATAATGTAATTGCTTTGGCAATAAATTGTTCTGAAATTTCCTTGAGTGTTTCACCAATCTTTAATTAGCTTTGCGACCTCACCCCTAAAGACACTCTCCACAAGGTAATTTCTTTCCCTAAACGGGGTTTAGTCTGTTAGTGGTATCCTAAATTAGTCTGTAATGGGATTTGGGTTTTTCAAAAATAAGTGTTGTTTCTCAACAACTGTACTTTCAGCTCCAACTTGTGCCTTTCATTTAAGATTCCTGCTTCATTTGTAAACATTCCTATCCAATCCTAGATCTTTCCTTCACGGTTTCCACATGAATACCAAATTCCTGTTCCTCCTTCCTGCCGTTTTTTGGTCCTGATCTCATATTCGCTCATGACAATGCACTGCCTAATATATCAATAAACAATGAGATCAGCGTTTTTCATGTCAAAAAGTCCATTCCCAAAATAGAGTAATAAATTCTCAACTTAAAAAAGTTCACATTTGTGATTCTCGATGGAAACTTCCAGCATTATTTGCTTAGTAATGGGCCTTCACCTCTTCTGAAACTCTTATCGTGTAGAACAGAGTTATTGGCAAAGTCGCAATATTCTTGCCTGTAGAGACTAACTTACAGTATTACTCTATGAATCCTCTTCACACCTGGGATCAACCAGTGCTTCTACTTCATTTAATCGTTGGGACACTTCCCACATCTTACAGTTTTCTCATGACACCATGGTCTGTCTTCATAATTGCTTGATAAAAATTTATTGGGTCTTCATTACTTGCCTTGCAAGCTTTCATATTGGGGTTGACCTAGAACTCTTTCCATTGGCCTGCTGCCAATTCAGCTGGTATCTTGACTTTGTTCACTATCATCCGATTTGTCCTGTTTCATTGATGCTACTCAAATTTGCACCTTTGTGAACTTCCCTTGGTCTCCCGCATCTTGCTGCCTTGAATTTTCGCGATATTTCTAGTCAACTGGATTCCTAGTCTTCTTTCTCCTGATTGATTCGTGGGCTTTGGCATTGGCTCGTTTAATAGTGTTTTTCAGTGTTGGGGGGTACATCAAATTTCAGCTTCCTAGCTTGTTTTGGAATTTTGCAGTTTGTTGACTTAAAATTCTAAGCAATTTTATATTGTGGATGTAAATTGCCCAGTTACTATCAATTTATTTCTAGTTGAAGCTCTAGTTATTTCTAGTTTGAGTTAGTTTCTAGTTATTTCTAGTTTGAAAGTCCTCACTCCAATATCTTTCAAAAGTGAAACCCTGTTCTAATGTTGGTGCAAGTGTCTGCCCAAGTCCTTGTTATCTTGCAACATCTGATAGATTACTTGGGTTTGATGCAAGAAAATTTTAAAGATTGAATGACATTGATTGGCCTTCCTGCAATGCTTGGAGCTGTCTTGATCTTTTTCATTCTTGTACCTCCATCTGAAGTTATGTTGCTTTCTCCCATTTTCTGTACTTTCTTCTCTAGTTCATCCTGGGATGACCTTTCCGAATGTGATTGCGATCTTTTGATCATTGAAACAGCTACTCCGCTATCATTTTGGTGGTGATGTACTTGCCCCATCCAACACCATTCTTATTCTTTCTCCTCGAATTGTGATCTCAAACTAATTTGCTACCCTTGTCACTACAATTCCTATCCTCAACTTCATAGACTTGGTCCTCCATTATATACTCCACACATTTGAAATATAGGACACACAACACTTCAAATATCATTCCCAATATTTAAACTGATACCAATTCTATACAGTGTCTCAAATTTACACGTGTTGGGGAGGAGGGATTTTCTTCAATATAGTAGACAAATTCACAATCCAATGTAGTTCTTCCTGTGGTGCCAGTTCGGAGTGAACTTGAAATAAATAACTTTTAAAATATAAAAAGGGAGAGAATTCATTGTAGGGGAAAATATTGGTAGGTGCTGGAGCACAGCGTTAGTACAATTTTCTTCATAATTTTAACACAAGGTTCCGTTAAATAAAAAATTATGTAAAGAACTGAAATTGCGTTACTTCATCTGGTTCCCGACGTAATGATTATTCCAAGACCATAAAATTACATTCAACTTAATGAAACCAACCATGAACTTTTCTATAGTAGTAAACCCAAGAAATGTTTTGTTATTGTAATTATAAACCACTTATCTCTTAAGATATGCTACCAAATGGAGTAGACATGGAGCCATTTTTAAGAAATATTTGATCTCTAAAGTTAATGTGAAACTTGAAGCTGTTTTTAACAGGAATCTTTCGTTTTGAGAAATTGTATTTGAAGTTATTTGAAACATTTACACTCTCAAATGGGTCAATCAGTCTCAAGTGGTCCAGCACTTGTCGCTCCATATTGAGAAAAAATTATACTTAGTATATTTTAGCTGTTCAAAAATATTTAATTTTTACTTTCCTGTGTATGTACATATATACAGTGTATTACATGTAGTGTAGGGAAAGTTTTGTAATGCTACGGAAAATCAATTTTGAGATTTCAAAGGAAATTTCGTTGTAATTGGGGTCCCCTGTTACTAAAAAAAAATTTCTTTTTTCAAAACGTTAGTCTGAGCACTACTAGCGCTTAAACCATACATAGGATTTTTTTCAAATTGAAACCCAAGTCGATTTAGCTCGAGTCATATCTGAGATTATGAAGAATCTTCAAAATGTGGGAATACAAAATTACATGAAGTCACCTGGACATTTTCAAAATTTTCCCAAACTCCTAATTTTTTCCTTAAATGTCTTGTAAGATTAGTGTCAATATGCTTATAAAGGTGGCATTGGTCCTATTTCCAGGTTTAAGTCTGAAAAATTTCGAATTCTGGTTTAATTTTCAAAAATGTTTCGGGCGTCTACTTACAGCTATAAAATTGAATTTTTTTTACTTTTGTTATGTGTTAATATTTATATAAACGTCAGCTTGTTAACATTATTGTAATTGGGAGTATTTGTGTATTCAATAATTTCACGGGAAGTTTCTTAGACTCAATAATTTTTTGTGAAAACTAACTCAAAAGTCCTGTTTCAGAAAAGCCTAAACGCTATTTTCTCAAAAACTGCTCCAATTTTTTTTCTTCAAACTTTTCGAACTGATAGTGTTAATTGCATTCTTTAATATAAAGGTCATTTGGAGGTAGTTTTTTCGTTTTTTCAAAAATTACACATGTAATTGCTTTGATATATGGTACGCCATTAATACGCACATTTCCAGCAATTTGTAAACACTATTGCTGTAGTGTTGAGTTAAAGGTCTTCAAATGAAGTTTTCCTAAAACTCAAGAATTTTCCGTGATAAAGATTTTCTCTTTATAATACACGTTTTGGGATCCCCTGATACCAAAAATTTTTTTTTTTTTTTCAAAACGTCTGTGAACACGTGTAGGATTTTTTTCCAATTGATGAAACTCCTGTCCATCTGGCTCGAGTCGAAATTTTGAAAAACATTCTTCAAAATTTAGGGGTATTTTCATAAAGCCCTCCGGATATCTTTAACATTTTCTCAAAATCGCTTCCAAATTGGTCTTTCAATTTTTGTAAGAATAGAGTAACATACACATTGTCACTAAAATTGAACCTCATTTTGGCGCAAATTTCAGATATTTAAACTGATAAAATGGATTTAATTGTTTTTCACTATTGTTCACATTGTTTAAAAATCAGAAGAAAAAAAATTGTTGTAGAATGTCATAAGAGACATTCTAGGTAGACAGTACTCAGACGTTAATCTGAAATAAATTTAAAAATTTTATTTACATTCTATATGAATTTCGATTCATAATTGGTTGACAAAAATACCTTCCAATGCAACAATTTGTCAGTCTGGAATTTTGTTCAGCCCGATAATGCAATAGAAGCTGAGAAAAAAATAAAATACGAAAAACACATTTCTCGAATCTCTGCAATAGATTACCCTAGGAGGCTGATTTTTTGCGAATCTACGATATTTTGTTTTCTCTTTCGTCTGAGCATCGCGAATATCGATTTGGTTCGGGGGCACTTTTCACCGCCTTTTCGGGCTATACCCTTTGTCAATAATGTTAATAACATGATCGTAGTCTTGCTGCCGTAATATAACACAGTTTTTGAACTGGGCTCTGAAGACGAATGCAAAAGATGTTACTCTATGATTATAAATGTTTTGTTACATAAAAATTTCGAATCTTAAAGGTTTGTGAACATAAAAATCTCGAATTAGGTTTTTTCCCTCGTTTTGGCCAGATATTCGAGGTCGGGAATCTGTGTGCAATAGTCCGACAGCAGCGCTTCTGTTTTCTCAGATTTCCGTCATGCATAGGCCTCGAACTACCGAGCTCTACTGCAAAACGGGGTTGTTGGTCGAACAGTGTAGCTGAGAGTCCAATTTCGCTGCTCTGACAGTTGGTCCGTGTGTAGAGGCCTTGAGCAAAATGAATTGTGAAGGGTTCCCAGAATTCTAGTGCTCCAGTTACAGGTTATACCGACCTTGTGAGACCAGCGCGAAACTCTGTTCCCTCTTGGGCTGTTTTTCGCCCTCTAATAGACATGAGTTTGTCGAACCTTCCCAAATCAATTACGTTCCCCCAGAATATCTTTGACGCTCTTTCAGGAAATAAAATCTACGTTTTTCAAGTACAGCATCTACTTTGAAGTCGTACGCTTCCGTGGCCAGAGTCATGTGCGTGATCTGGGCTGTCCATACCAGCCCTGAGGAAGACCACAAGATGGTCGAAACGTCGGCAACGCAGCCTTTGACGCGACGTCACCCGGACAGCTCAGATCACGCAGCATATACTTTGACTGTCCCTTCCAAAATGAAGTGGGATATTGCCATAATGCAAACCTGCACATCATTTTGTACTTTCAGTGACATCGGGAGCCGTGCGCGAGCCACTGGAATGAAAGTTCGAGCAGAGAG